GTATGGTGGCAGCATGAAGTACACATGGAAAAGTGCTCAGGGGTCAAGTGAAAGGACAGAGGATGGGGAATAGTCTGCAAAGACAGATGAGTGTTATTCAGAAGCCCGTGAGGAAGTTTCAAGAAAGAAAGTACAAGAATCAGATTTGCATTTCAGATCAATCACTCTAAGATGAGAAGGATGGGGGCAAGGGGCTAAGAAAGAGCCAAGACCAGTCAGGGGCAACTTCTGTAATCCCAGAGGGTAATGAGGAGGCACAGAGGCAGGCTATTTGGTGGAAGGGGTGGACGGGAAGGGCCAGAATCAAGAAAATCTAGCAAGAAGTTCTGCGAGAGCTTGGAGATGCAGGAATAGCCTCCCAGTTGTCTTACTGTGGCTAATGAGTAAACCGTGGCCCAGGCACCGGGGTGGGTGCTACCGACAGAAAGGTGGAGTCGCTCAGGTCAGCGGGGCCTGTGTCAGGCAGCGACGCAGGCAGTGAAGGGCACCGCAGCGACGTCAGCGGACACCCCGGAACTGAAAACGGGCAGAAGCAGGGGAGGTCCGCCGGGGCCCTAGGCCCATCAGATCCCCTTCAAAGGGGCAGGACACCCGCCTCGCGAGGGCAGCTGCCGTCGAGGCCTCTCCCGATGGACCTCGGAACAGACCTGAGACCTGAGACCTTCGTGGCTGAAAGGAGGGAGCAGCGAGCGCGCGAGCGTCTCCACCAAGCGCCCAGGCCAACTTCGCGTCTGACTCCCTCCTGTTACCTTGTTCGGTGCGTGGCCTGTCTCGTGTCCCGCTCCGGCTGCCCTGCAAGACGCCAAGTTAATCACTTGGCGAACTGTCTCTGAGTCTGGAATCCTGAACCTGCTTCGTGATTATGTCCGCCTTGCTGGGCGACCGAATAAAGCTGTCATTGTGGAAGGACACGGCCCGTGTGTGCGCCTTCACCGCGTGCTCGTGGCAGGACTCTCATGGAGAGCGGGGACACATCAGTGTTACCACTGCCGCCAAAATCCACCCAGCCAAATACGTCCCTGTTTTGGTGTGCTACATCACCAAAGGCGAGCAGCTTCGCCTCAGACTGAAGTTCCAAATGGCACACAACGGAGACAGGCTGTCAGTAGCGACCAAGGACTCAAATCCCTAGAACACAGATCTCAGTGTTGAGCAGCCCTCTTCCTAGGTGCCTGGCAGAGGAGAGCAAAGTCCAGGCACACCCAGAGCAGGTGAGGGATGAGGCCAGGACCGACCAGAGGAGCCAGGGGAGGAGGCTCCAGTCAACAGGGAGGAAATCCAGCCCATGCACAGGAAGGGAAGGGAGGAAGCACTTTCCGCAGCTTCCCATCGCAGGGCTGAGCAAGAGCTTGGGGAGCAGGGAAAGGGGGACATATGCATCACAATGAGGAGCCCAGAGGTAGCCTTAGTGCAGGCTCCTTCGGGAAGCCAGCAGCTCCTTCCACAATTTGGCCTAGAACTCCAGGCCCGGGCTCCCCTCGGTGCCTCTGAGGTGCACCAGGCACAGCGGGGAGAACAGAGCCCCCTTCGGCATTTCTGGGATTCGGGGAGACACACCAATCCTGCCCACGGAGGGCCTGGGGGAGCAGAGACACCCACGAGGACTCACTGCTGGGCCAAGACGGGACGACATGGGCAGCACCGTGCTCCACATCCACCCCCACCCCCAAGTTAAAGACCCAGGAAAAGCAAGGCCAGAGCTTTCAGGAGAATCAACCCCTCTCAGGCTTCCCTAGGTCTGGCATGGCTCCATGCACGCCTCCCCACTCTGCACCCATGGAAATTAACCCCACAGTTGCCTCAGCCTCTGCTCCAGGACCCTGAGGAGCCCAAACCAGTCACGGATACCCGCCCCCCCCAACCCCCGCAAAGACCTGGAGCACACGGCCCGGCACTCTGCACACGGTAGTGCTTCTCACTCTGACCCCAGGCTGTGAGGAGGAGCCCAGGATCCCCACGAGTGAGGTCACCCGAAGCCCTGAGAGGCTCCAGTTTCTCCTCTGGCCGAACTCCAAAGCCCACACAAAGCCCGGGCATGTCACTCCCGCCGCCCTTCATTTCCTGGCTGCAAACGGAGATAAGTCTGGCGCTGCCCACCTGGCCAACAGGTTGCAAAAATGAAACCAACTCCACAGATAAAACGCGAAAAGCCCTACCGGCGGCCTTCACAGGCGGCCACTTCCAGACGCCGTTCCTGACCCCTTGGCGTCCTCGGCACCCGGCCGGGGCCTGGCCAGACTTCTGCCCTGGGCCTGGCCTCTCGGTGTGCCGGCCAGACACGGACCCCGAAGATGCCGCCACCGGCGCCCTGCCTTCGGTACCTCTCATCCTGCTCTACCGCGCTCTTCTCCCTTCTGTCCGCTCAGCTCTGCCCCCCTCCCCCGCTCCTCTCTCCCCCGGGCCGGGTCTCCGCTCCCGCCGCAGGCCCCGGAAGTCCGCGCCTCACCTTCCGCCTCGTGCAGCCCGCCGCAGCGCAGTCGATCAGATCCCGGCGACCGGTCAGTCGGCCCCGCGTTCCTCTGGGCGCCGCGGGGGCGGGCCCCGCGCGCGGCTCTCGCCATGGCAACGCTACACTTCCTGCCCACACCGCCCAGAGCCGGAAGCCGCGGCGCCCCCTGGGAGCCCAGGGGCGGGACCAAGCTGCGGGGGGGCGGGGCCTGCCCTTCGAGGGTGGCTGTCCGCGGTGTTGTGTAACCCTCTCTAGCGAGAGGTGGTCAACTATTCATGCTGGGCTTTTAAGGAAAGGTCGAGGTTCACCCGACAAAGCAGAATCGTCACGAACAGAGGGAAAAGCATGACTATAGGTGGAAGGACCCGGTGCATTGGAGCAATCGGAAGGTGGTGGTTTGGGAGGGCGGGGGAGAGTGGTCAGATATGAGTAGTCCGGACAAAAGGAGCCTTGAACTTCAAGCCAATCAAAAGAGGACCCGTGGGGGGGGAGGGGTCCTCTTGTAGGAGAGAAAGAAGTCTTTCCTGATGGAGTGAGGCTAGCAGGCCATAGATAGCAACAGCTTGGTGAGATACAAGGACCCCCTCAACTAGAGCTCTGGGAACGGAACGGTGACATCATCAGCGTTCCGGGGAATCCATGTGACGTCTGAAGGGAGAGTCTGAGAATGAGGGGAGCGTGTGGAACTTCACATTACATCATCCATTTCATCCACAGACTTCCTCCAGCGCACCTCTATCACTCATGCCTTCTCTCAGCACCTTCCATGAGTTGGGGACCTACTGTATGCTGCAGATCTTCAACCATTTACGAGTATAATGTGGGCGGTGAGAGGGGAACGCCCAAGAAAAGCTGAATTCTTGAACTAGTGATATAAGTGTCTCTGTGCCCCTGTGGCTTCCCTTGGGTCTGCGGGGGGGCGGTCCTGATACAAGCACCAGCCACCACTGCTAGTGTCCTGGGCGTGATACCCCCTTGGGCAAACCTGCTGGTAGGGGACAGGGCTGGGCCTTGGGACATGGTACGGAGCATAGGTCTTGACTGACTCAAAGGCCTTAACAGATCAGATGGCCAGAGAGAAAGTGAAGGGACAGAATAGGGTCTGGGAGGGGCACCTGGCTGGCTCAGTCAGTCAGTAGAGCATGTGACTCTTGATTTCAGGGTCAGGAGTTCAAGCCCCATGTTGAGCGTGAAGCAAACTTAAAGACTAAGAAAAGAAGAAGAATAGGGTTTGGGAGCTAAGAGGACCAGTCAGTGTCAGGGCACCTGCCAGAGGCATTTTTCTGGGACCACACTTCTAGGCCATGTCCTGTGCCTGCTAAAACCCTCAGAGGCTCTAGCCAGGCCCAAGCAGCGAGTGCTGACCCCTCCAACCTCCCCAGCCTGAGCCTCCAGTCTCCTACCTAGAGTGCCCCATCTCTAGTCAGGCCAGCTCCCACCTGCCTGGGGAACATCTTCTATCTAGACTAAGCTTCAGGGCCCTGTAGATGTCTGGAAGCCCTTCCTGTGTACTCATGCAATGCATCTACACTCACTCCTGTCCAGGATGAAGCTAGGTGGTCCTTGCACACTCCCCTAGGTAGGAACTATGACCCATGAAGCTGTATCCTCAAGGTCTGGTGCCAAGAGGTGTCCAGTAAACCCCTCCAGCTAGGAAACTTGTTCCTACACACACACACACACACACACACACACACACACACACACCCAGGAGCACTGCCCAAGTGCCCCCAGAAGAACAAGAGGCATCCTCCTGGGTAGCAACCTTCAGAGCATTGGACCCAGAGGACCAAAAGAGGAGGAGGGAGGCAAGCCTGCCTCCAAGAAGTCCTCCGGGGCCAGGCAGGTCCAGATCACCCAGGGCCAGAGGGGTGCACAGTGAATGAGGAGAGCTGTTCAGCTCCCAGTGTTAACAGGCACCATGGAGGTAAGGAAAGTGGACTCCAAAACTTTGGGAATCTGCTGGGGCCCTGCAGCAGCCCCTGGGAAAAGTTCTTGAAACAACTACATCCCTATTTTGTTCCTGAGGTTTCCTCCAGGAAGCCCTCCCAGACCACCATCTAGGTCCTGGAAGCTGCTCAGCCTTGAACTCTGGGCAGGCCCCACCCATTCTTGACAGGTCAGTTTCGGGTAAATCAACTCCCTCAGCCTTTAAATGGGAGCCTGAGGGCCCACCCGGACAGACAGGATAAAGTAACAATGGGTCACTGGCCCCTTCCAAAAGCTTTTCCTCCTAGCTTGTAGGGGGTGCTTAAGGCAGCCCAGGGGTGAGGAATGAGGCCCCGGGTGGCTGCCTGCAGCCCCCGCTGGAATCTTCCCTGCCCCTCCCTTCCAGATTAACTGAAACCTGCTAATTGTGGCAGCCCTCTGCATGCTCCCCTCCCCCACCACCGAGTCCTCCCTCCCTCTGCCTCCCGTCCCCTCCCCCTTCCATCCGAATGATAAAGGGTCTGGCCCGCCAGGCCCGCGGGCCTCAGGCCCTCAGCCCTGCCTCATACTACACTGCCCCATTGCCTTGTGCCTTCCACGGGGCCTGACCCTTGCCCACGTTGCTTGCTTCCCCTGCATGGGGCCCTGCAGCAACCCACGCCTGGGGCTTCCTGGGTCGGAGTCATCATCCCAGGCCCCCAAGAGGAGGAAGAAGAGATACCTGCGTCATGACAAGCCCCCCTACACCTACTTGGCCATGATTGCCTTGGTGATCCAGGCCGCACCCTCCCGCAGGCTGAAGCTGGCCCAGGTGAGAGGGACCCCCATTCTCCCTCATATTCCATGATCGGACCTTTCGCCAGGCCCGTCCCTCACCCATTCCTAGTCTCAGGCTCCGGCCTCCCACCCCACTTCGTCCTATCCAGCTAACTCGGTGGGGCCACTCCCAGCCTGGGCACCGGGGGGGAAAGAGTTGAGGTGCTCAGGCAGGACCCTTCCCTTGGTCTTTTTCTCCCTCCAGCACAGAGGTGTTCTGGGGGGGGGGGGCTACGCCCCAACGCCTGGCTGTGGGGGAGGGGCGGTACTGCCCCACCCTGCCTCCTGGTTCAGGGCGCTGGCCCACCCGCCGACCCCTGTCTGTGGTTTCAGATCATCCGTCAGGTCCAGGCCGCATTCCCTTTCTTCAGGGACGACTACGAGGGCTGGAAGGATTCCATCCGCCACAACCTCTCCTCCAACCGATGCTTCCGCAAGGTGGGGTAGGGCGAGGGTCGGAGCTGGGGCGGAAATCCTGAGTGTGTGGGGTCGGACGGCCCCACCCAAGCCTCCCCACCCCCTCCAGGTGCCTAAAGATCCTGCGAAACCCCAGGCCAAGGGCAACTTCTGGGCGGTCGACGTGAGCCTGATCCCGGCCGAGGCACTGCGGTTGCAGAACACGGCCCTGTGCCGGCGCTGGCAGAGCAGGGGCGTGCGGGGAGCCTTCGCCAAGGACCTGGGCCCCTACGTGCTGCACGGCTGGCCCTACCGGCCACCCAGTCCCCAACCCCAGCCCAGTCCTCAGCCACCACCCAGTCCGCAGCAGCCGCCCAGTGAAGGCTTCAGCATAAAGTCTTTGCTAGGGGACCCCAGGGAAGGAGTGCCACGGAGCAGCCCAGGTCCCACAGGATCCAGGCACAGTGGGGAGAAGGTGGTGCCCACTCCACCTCTGCCCTCTGAGGAGCCTCTGTGGCCCCTTTGCCCCCTTCCCGGGTCCAGGAGAGCAGAGAGGGAGACTAATTCCCAGGGAGGAACCCGCAGGCCCTCACCCCTCTCCCCTGAGCACAGAGCCTGGCCCCTCCACTTACTGCAGGGTTCCCCAGACCCAGGGGGACTGTCTGGTGGCGGTCACAGGGCCTCACTTTGGGGGCAGCTACCCACCTCCTACTTGCCCATCTACACTCCAAATGTAGTAATGCCCTTGGCTCCGCTACCACCCACATCTTGTCCCCAGTGCCCACCTTCTACTAGCCCAGCCTACTGGGGGATGTCCTCTGAAACCCACGGCCCCCCAGGGCTCCTCTGGGATCTAGATGCCCTCTTCCAGGGGGTGCCACCCAACAAGAGCATCTACGATGTGTGGGTCAGCCACTCCCGGGATCCAGCTGCCTCCAGCCCAGGCTGGCTACTCTCCTGGTACAGCCTGTGAGGCTCCGGGGCAGGGGCTGCTTTCCTCTCCTACTCCTTCCTGCCACCACTGACTTGTGGGGGAACCAAGGCCGAGAGGACCCAGAGGTGTCTGTGGCCACAGCAGCCTTGAAACACCAGGCACCAGTGATGCTGAGAATCCATGATGTTTATTGGCTACCCCACAAAGGGCCACGGCCTGGCTAGGCACACCCTGGCCCCCAGGGCCGGTCATGCTTCTACCCCCAGAGGCACTGCTGGAAAGAGTGGGGGCTTTGCTTGCAGTAGCCCCTTCCTGATCCCACTTTCTCTGACCCTCTCTGTCCGTCCATCCTTCCTTCCTTCCATCCATCCATCACCATGTGTCACTTCCTCTCTCCTGGCTCCCTCCCCTGCTGGGGGAGGGAGAACCTAATGGTGGCTCCAGCCTGTCCTGTCCTCCCTCATCTGCCTGGGAATGAGGTAGCACCTTTTTGGGAAAAGAAATCCAGACCCTACTTGTTTTGGGTGGTGGTAGTGGGGAAGATAACAGTAAAGGAGTAGACAACATTTTAATGCCAAGTCTGATTTTTGGTGATGGGGTGGTGGTCCTGGAGGGATAAGCACTTGGTCGCGTCTACCTCCCACGGCTCTCTCGTCCCCTGCTGTGGGGCGAGATAACAGCAAAAGGTGATAAGGAGGGAACCGAGGGCCTGGGGGAGGGAGGGCCAATCACGCCCCTAGGCTAGGGGCTTAGTACTCCTCGCCGGGCAGGGGGGCCAACTCTGCGAGTGTGGGGGGCAGTGGGCCCCCAGAGGTCGAGGAGGTTGTGAGGGTGTAAGATTTGCTGCCTCTGCCGGCAGAGGCGCAACTCCAGACTCGAGGGGCAAAGCTACGAGGGCACGCCCTTTTGGGTCCCAAGGGCCGAGCTGGAGCCGCTGTCCGGGTCGGGCCCCGGAGGGCTGCCGGGGGACGGCGTCGGAGTGCAGGGGGTCCCAGTGAGTGGCGTGTCGGTGCTGAGGGAAGAGGGCGTCCCGGAGCGCGGCGCCCTGCAGCGCCGGGCTGGCCCCAGCTCCACTTGGCCAACTCGCTCGGCGAACTTGAGCGAGCACACGGTCTCGCCGAGATCCTCCGGCCGCGTGGAGATCTGCGGGGGAAGCGGCGCTGGTGGGTGGGCCCGCGCGGGCGGCGCCTGGTGCGCAGACCACCCTCCCGCGCCTGCGGCCGCCCACCTGCAGCAGCAGCACCGCGGCGGCGCCAGGCCCGAGCGCGGGCTGCAGCAGGCGCGTGAGCTGCGAGTCGCGGAAGGGCACGTGCGGCCGGCGGGCCCGCAGCGCGGCCATCACGCCTCCCAGGGCCAGCAGCGAGCGATTGATAGTCCGGGCCTCCCGCAGGCGCTGGGCGCCCTCTCGGTCCCCCCTCGACGGGCCTGCCGCCCCTGCCTTCCAGGCACGCTCGGATCCGGCCAGGTCCACCAGGTGCAGCGTGCCTGCAGAGGCGAGCGAGCCCGGCGTGGAGGCGGCCCTGGCTTCGGGCGCAGCGAGGCCCCCCGCCCGGCTCGGGCGCGCGCTGCGGTACCTGCGGCGCCTGGACCGCGCGGTGGGGACGCCGTGCGCAGCGTCAGCGTGACCAGGGCGTGCGACCGCGAGCTGTGCGGGTTCTTGCTGGTGGCGGCGGTGGCCCGGTTGCTCCTCCCCAGGCTCAGCATCTGGAGGGCGGGGCGATGGGGCCAGCCTGGCTGCCGGGTCTGCGTGTCCAGGCGGGAGCCCAGGCCTGGGCCCCGAAGGCCCGCGGGGAGGCGGGGAGGCGAGGGAGGAGGGACGGTGAGTGCGTTGCCACACGGGGCGGTGTTACCTGGTGGAGCACCTCCAGGTCGGGCACGTCCCAGTAGGTGAGGCCAGCCACCTGAATGCCCCCCTGGCCTGCTGGGCCCTGCCTCACCGCCAGGCGCTCAGGAGGCCCTGGGGCTAGGAGGTCCCTGCAGAGAAAGAGAAGGGCTTGGTTTCTGAGGCTCCTAGGGTCACTGACAGGGCAGAGGGTGTGGAGGGGGCACGCAGGCCCTGACCTGACAGCTTCATTGTAGATCTCCACCATGCTGAGAGTCACGCGGTGCTGCCCTCCAGTCCCCATCTCCTGGAACAGTGACTGCAGTGCCCTAGGAGCTATGCCAGGGTCCTCTGGTGGGCCCTGGGCACAGGGCGGGGTGCCGCGTCAGTCTCCCATCTGAGCCCCTGGCCCCCTGAGCTGCCCGGGGTCCCCCCTTCCCACCTCCATGCTGTAGGTCTTCCCTGTCCCTGTCTGACCGTAGGTGAAAATGCAGACGCTGTAGCCTTGGAGGCAGGACAGCACCGCGGGCTCCAGCTCCCTGAAGACCTAGGGGTAGGAGGGGTGGGGGGTCCTGAGCCCCAGGACCTGAGCCAGCGGGAACGGAGCCTGGTTCCCCTGGAAGGACAGCCCTAGGGGAGCGTGGTGGGAGTGTGCATCTCCCAACAGGCAGAAGAGGCTCCCTGCAGAAGGTGGCACTTACAAGGACTTGCCAGGCAAAGAAGGGAAGGAATGTGACGAGCATGAACAGGAGACACAGGGCACTGGAATTCTGGGGGCCACAAGGGAGGCTCCGGGAGCAGCAGCCAAAAGCCCAAATGCTGGGCTTGGCTGTCAGGTTCAAACCCCAGGTGTGGCTGGAGGCAAAGCACATATCCTCCTTCCAGGCCAAGACTTTCCTTCTGTGAGGTGATGACTACAGTGGCGCCCACTGTAGGGATCAGAGGGGAGCATGTACCAAGAGGCCTAGCAGCATGTGGCATACCACTCGGCCCCGCAGGCGTGCAGGATGGTGGCCAGCCGAGACCACCGGAACCCAGAGAGGCAGCTGAGGGGGAGGTGGGTTGGGACTTGTATCCTGTTGGCAACTGGACCCCAATAGCAGCTTTTGAGCCCCAGGGGTTTGGCAACTGAGTAGCCTGTGAATTCTGCCTCAGGCGTTGGCTGCCAGCAATGAGGGCAGAATCCAGAATTGCCAGTGAGGTCATTAAAGATCCCAGGAATGGAAGAGAGCACTAGGGGTGACCGTGATGGGGGGACTGTGGTGCCCTTGCACAGATGGGAAACACAGGTGAGGGGGCTCAGTGAAAGACGCCTTTGTTTCCTTCATGCAGACACATCGAATCGGAGAGCCCTGTCTAGAGGGCCGCCCAGAAAGCAGTGGGCAAGGGGGATCTACACAGGGCTGCTGCAACTTGGGATGCAGGCCGAGGCCAGGGGAGGTGTGTGCAAGGGAGAAACGGGTGGAAAACAGCTATGGGGCTCCAGGAAGTAGGGGAGGGACCCCTGACCACCTGCCAAACACTGGTCACACGGTGTCCCCCTGAGGCCAACACAGGTTGGAATCTGTTAGCTCTGCCCCTTCCCTAATCCCCTCCCAGCTCTGAGCCTCCATTTCCTGAGCTTTGGAAGTCCTGATGGCAAAGCACGTGGACAGAGACAGGGAGTGTGTGAAGCAGGGTGGTGGGGAGCTGGGCCTGGCAGAAAAGGAGAGGAGGGTAGGAGAGTGGGGTCTGCACTGGGATCTGTACCAGGCAGGGGAGAGCACTGAGGCTCAACACCACCTGCTCACCCTTATGCCCCCACTGCCTCCTTGGCCACAAGACAAGGAGATGAGCTTGCCCTCAGAGCTGGCCCACCTCGCCAGGGCTGGAAGGCGGGGAAAGGGGTCACAGCAATGTCCCCACCACAGCAACACGCTAGCTGTGCTCTGCAGCCAGCTCTGCGTGAGCATAACCATCATCTCAGACAAGTTCATCTTCCTTAGTTTCTTGGGAAAAAAGTTACTTTTTAAAATGTGGACTTTCCTGTTAAACCAGAAAAGGCTTCTTTCCACTGGAACTGCAGTGGAATGGTCAGGGAATGCAGAGGGAAATTTCTGGAAGGAAAGAAGTTACCCATCTAGGCTGTCATTCCTGCCTCCCTTCCCCTCACTAGAGTCCAGCCACTGGGGAAGCCAGATGAAGGGGAACCTGGAGCCTCTTCTGACTCTGGGGCAGTATGAGGGAAGGTCAGCACAGGGGCAAGGGTGGAGCATCACCTCCTCCTGGCTGGCCTCTGGGGAGAAGACCCAGTCCAGGCGGAAGCGACGCTGGCGCCCTCGATAGCAGGTGGTGACAGTGCCGCTGGGGCCAGGCTCCAAGCTTACCAGGCTGGAGGGTGTCCCTGGCCTCAGTCGACACAGCACACGGATATTTCCTGGGATGGAGATGAGGTCAGTGGGCTGCCTCCCAGGCCCCAGAGCATGCAGAGGCTCCAGTTCCTCCAGCTTGCCACCCCACCCCTCCACTTCCCAAGCCTGCCATACCCTTGAGCTCCAGCAGCCGCCCTGGGCATCCAGTTGGGGGCCCATGCTGCTCCTCAGGGAGCTGAGTTCCAGACCCTCCAGCGGACAGCGCCCCTAGGGCCCAGGATACCTGGTGGAATAGGGATGTGAGGAAGTGGAGGCAGCAGAGGGGCTGGGGGTGGGGCGGGTGTGAAGGCAATATGGTGATCTACCACTTCCGGTGGCTTTCGGCCTCTAGGGGCTTCATTCAGTGGGCCCAGGATGGAAATTCAGAAACTCAGGAGGATCATGGGAAGACCTCTGTCTCCTCTGGGGTTGGCCATCTTGTGAGGGGTTTACAGTCACCCCCCCCCCCATTTGCACAGACAGAAATGAGATCACACCCAGGGTGTGTGAGATCACAAGCTGTCTGGTTCCAGAGCCTACAGCTTCCATTAGAGCAGGGGCTGGGAAGGAAGAAAGAACCAGGGCTCCCCATGGAAGAACAGTAACTAGGCTGCCCAGAGAGCATGTTCTGGAGAGGGGGCAGCTGGTCCTGACCTGGCCCCGGGCCTCACTGAGCGAACACTGACAGCTATGGGTAAACGTGCTGACCAGTCCTCGGAGGTCCCCACAGCCCTGTCGCAGACTGGCCATACGTGCCCGAAGTCCTGGCAGGGAGAGTTCATTGTGAGGGAAAGCCCAGACCACCTGGTCTTCCCATGAGCCCTCTGGACCCGGCCCTTACCTGCCAGCTGCCCATGCATCTGCTGCAGCTCCCTTCTGCAGTTCTGCTCAGTCTCCTGCTGGAGCTGCCGAAGGGCCCCCCGAAGGCCCTGCAGCTGCACCTCCTGCACCCCCAGCTGTCCCACCCAATTCCACCCCTGTCACTGAGGAAATAGGCACTTACCAGGCCCTGCCTCAGGTACCCTCCTCCCAGTTCACCAAGACTTCCCGGCCCCCGGGCTCAGCGCCCACCTGGACTTGAAGTGCCTCTGTGGTATCCTGGGCTTCCTGAAGCCGACTCTGGAGCTCCACCAATGCCTCTGCCTCCTCCTGCAGGAAGAGAGGGAGCCGCGTCAGCTACGGAGTGAGGAGGAAACTCGGGGAGGGGCACTCCAGCAGCCCCATTTCATGGATGGGGGACTCAAACAGAGGGCCAGGCAGAGCTGCTCATGATTCCATGTCTCCCAACTCCAGACAGGACTCCTTTTCCCCAAGTCTCTCTGCTCTCCTGGGATCAGTCACTTGGAGAGCCATGGGACAGGCTCGAGGTGTTCCCCCATGGGCATTGGTCTCCTTGTTCGGGAAACTTTGCACAGACCGTCCCAGGGCCTGTCTACAATCCCTTATAGGTCAGAGACGTCCCCCTGCCTCTGTTCCAGCAGTGTTAGATCCTGAGGAAGCCAAGTGTTCAGGAGCCCCAGACTGCAGAAATAGTGGCAGCTAAGGAGGATACCTGGGGGGCCCTGGTGGAGGGGCCAGGGGCCCAGTGCAGCAGGAGGTCCCGAGTGAGGCTCAGGCTCTGTTTCAGAGCCTCATTCTCCAGGGTTAGATGCTGAACCCTTTTCTCTGAGTCTGTCGCCCCCTGGAGGAGAAAGAGGCCCTCTAACTCACCTGAAAGTTGGGGCCCCCTCTGGTCCGGCTCCTGGAGCCCCGCCCCCAGCAGCCTTACCACGCCCAGGCGCAAGCGGCCCAGCTCCTCTTCCTGCACTTCTAGCTGCTGCTTCAGCTCCTCTAGCTGCAAAGGAGGAAGGAGCACAGGGTGGAGCATCTCCCTCCACTCCCTCCCACCCCAGTCCGGCTCCCTCCTGGGCCCCTCACCTGTCCAAGGATGAGCTGCTCCAGCCGCTGCCAAGCCCTCTGGTCCTCCTCCGACTGGGGAGGGTGCTGCCCTTGGGCCTCACCCCTTGGTGAAAGGGACGGGCTTTCTTCTTGAGGTGGGGAGCCTGGGGTGGGGTGGACCCTGTTAGTACTGATGAGGTCTCTAACCTGAGGGAGGGGACACCTCGGGAGCAAGGCTGGGCATGGGACCCCGAACTGCAGGCCACTCAGCTTCTGGTGGGCTTCACTCCCTCGACCCCCTTTTCAACTCACTACTCCTTACGCACCAGCAGGTGTGGGAGGCTGCACCTCGGAGGCTGGATGAATACCCTGGGGCAGGGCCTGCCTCCCCCTGGGGCTCCGAATCCATGCCAGGAGGGCCAAGAGCTGACCGGTCACCGTCAACAGTGGGGGGACATCACTCTGCTGTAAAGGAGACAAGAATTTGAGCGGAGGAAACTGAGATGATGACAGCCATGGGGGAGGCTCAGGGCCGTGGAGAGAGTCTGCGTTCCCCAGAGAAGGACCCTCCGCGAACCGCTCACCTTGGTCAGGTCAGGGTTCCGGCAGCTCTCTTCCGCCCCCAGCTGTACAGAGAGGAACTCAGCAAGACGCACGAGAGCCTCTTCCAGGGAGACCTCGGCAGAACGGCCCTCGGCTCCCTCTTCTGGCCCATCCTCAGGCTCGGAACAGCCTGTGAGGCCTGATAGCGGGAAAGGGAGGCTTGCCGTTCGCATGTTGGAGACTAGGCCACCGGAAGGCACGGGCTGTGTTCCTCCCTCTCAAAGAGGTCACGGGCACCCCTCCCTCTCTCCGAAGTCGGGGTTCTCTCGAGGCCCCAGGGACGCAGCGCTCCCGATGCACCGACAGCACCTACCGACCAGGCCTGTCAGCTCTGTCCACAGTTCTGCCGTGGGCTGGTCAGAGCGGCGGCGACCCCCGGGCTTTCCACCGGCACTCTAGGAGGGTGCAGCGAGACCCCGAAGGAGTGGGTAGGCAGCCTGTGGGGCTCCTTCCCTCCAGGAACTGGGCCAAGGGACTTGGGGCTGAGGTCTCCGCTTCCAATACCAGAACAGACAGGGTCCTCAGCATGGCCCTCCTCCCCAGCGTCAGCGTCCCGGGAACGTTCGCTGCGCGGGCGCGCAAAACCCGTTCGCGGGAAGGGGGTCGCGGGCTACACGGCGCCCGCTCGGCTCACCTGGGCGGGGTCCCCGGGGTCGCCGGCAGCCGCAGCCCCGCCATCCCTACGGAAGAGGCTGTAGAAGATGTAGATGAGCAGCGAGTAGAAGGCGTACATGGGAGCGCGGGGCGGCAGAGGGCCCCGCTTCGCGCCGCCCCGCGTCCCCGCGCCCCGACTCGGCGCCCGCGCGCTGCAAAGCCGGTGCGCATGCTCGAGGCGGCCGCCCCCACGGCCCTGCTCCCGCGAGTGGAGGACGCGCGCGCGAGGAAAGGGGATGCCAGAAACTGGGGTTCCCGGGGCTGCACCCGGACACCTGCCCCGCGCCTCCCACTCCTGCTTCACGGAGACGCCGGGCTGAGAGCGCCCATGTCCCCCACACAGCCCCTCCGCGGAATCCTTCCTAACCCTCGGCGGAGGCCCCCGCAACTCGCACCCCTTAGAGCCATCAGCCCGGGGGAGTCCAAGCTCCCCTCCCTAAGTAACCCCTTCCTCATAGCCCCGCCCCAGTCCCGCCCAGCTGTCTTCACAGCCCGTCTCCGCCCCTCCTCACTCCCGTCCCAGCTCCGCCCACACCGCTCACAGCCGAGCCTCTCCCCTCACGGCCCCGCCCACGACATCCCCTCTCTCCGGCCCATCCCTTCACAGCCCCTCCCCTCCCCACAGGGCCGCCGTACCGCTCGGCTGTCACAGCCGGTGGTGTACAGAGCTCCCCCCTCCTAGCCGCGTCTCGGCTCTGACAACCTCCTCCTGCTCTCCTAGAACGTCCCCTTCGCCCAGGCCCCGCCCCCACCCACCGCTCTAGCCTCCGCTCCTCTCGTTGGTTCGCGCCAGGCCAGTGCTGGGAAGAGGCCGGAGGCTCGGCGGCAGCTGGCGGGTGGCTGGGTGGTGGGCGACGCCAGACTACAGCTCGCCACTGCGGTGCGGCCTCGCCGCTCAGCCACTGCTGAGGGCCTGCGCTGTAGCTCCTTCCAAGCCAGGTCCTGAAAACGGCGCCTCCCAGAGCGCAGAAACCAGGCCGAGTGGGCCTGCGCGCAACTCTCCCCGAGGTCGGCTCCCCCCCTCCCCCGCTTGGATTCCAGGGCCCCAGAACTCACGCCCACCCAGGTCAGGCCCTGCGCCGCTTTCTCTCTTCTTTTCCTGGCCAAATTAGGTTCTTCCCCACAATTGTGCCCAGTGGCCCCGGGGCTCCGGAAAGTTTTGGATGAGCCTATCCCGATATTTAGAAATGGGGCTTTGGAAACTGGGAGACCTGGAGAATCGCCCTTAGGGCTCCTGGTCGCCGGCTTCTGAGTTTTGTCCTCTCCAAAGTTGAGGATCCCCCTCCTGTTTCACGTTCATTACCACCAGAGGCGGCATGGCCCCCAAGCTGTGGAGTGAGTGGAGCACGACCCTGTCCCACCTAGCGCTGGGAGTGGTGTCTCTGCACGCAGCGGTGAGCACTGCGCAGGTGAGTACACTGGGGGGCGGGCAGGGGTGTATCCCACTCCAAAATTGCAAGGACCTGGATCAGATCCAGTTTCCCGGCTCAGGGAAAGGGTGGTGGGAGGCTGAGTCTGGGGACCAGGGTTGCATGGGACCCCCACGCCCTTCTCTCCTTAGAGGAAAGTCCTGGCTCCCCACCCCCATATCTCCTCCTATCGTTGTGCTGACAGGCAAGTCGAGGGGCCGCCGCTGGCTTCCTGCTCCAGGCCTTGGCCTCTGCCACCTTGCTGGCCCCAGGGCTGGGCACAGATGAAGACTGTCTTGCTGGAGTCTGGGTGGCCACTGTCATCGGCCTGCCACTTCTGGCCTTCGATTTCCACTGGGTGAATGGGGACCGCTCCTCTGCCAACCTGCTCCTGGGAGGAGGAATGGTGCTGGCAGTGGCTGGTGACCACCTTGGTGCTGAAGGCCGCTCTGTGGCTGCTCAGGCAGTGGTACTGGTGGTTGCAGTGACCATCCTCATTGTGGCTGTTTTCACGACCAACACTTATGGAATGTGGGGGGGTGCGATGTTGGGGGCTGCAGGCCTCCTGAGCCGGCTGGAGGAGGACAAAGTTCTGCTGCTTCCAAAGGAGGACGTCTGTCGCTGTGCTCTGGCTGCAGGCAGTTGGGCCTACCACCGAGCCCTGCACACACAGCGCCTGCAGTGGGAGTGATGCTTGCAGACAGCAAGGTGGGGCTTCTGCCTTGGCTACCACCTCCCCCTCCCACAGGCCTGCTCCTGCGGGCCTCCTTCCCTAAAGATGGACTCTCTTGCCTCCCAAAGAGCACTTGCTGCACAGTGATGGATGCCTCATTAAGGAGACAAAGTCTGGGCACTGCCCCTCCTCTGACTGAGTTTGGGGACTCACCTAGACCAGAATTAAAGAGATGGGCCCTTAGGCACGTTTTGGGGCCTGATATTGGGCAGGCCATGGTTTTGGATTCAGAGAGAGGCTTGGTCTCCAATAAACCTTAGGGATTCAGCAGGAATATGGAATCTGCCCATTTTTGAAAGGGGATCCAGGGAGGGGTCCTCCACTGAATCCTCTAAAGCTCCAGGGCAGCAACTAGTTTCCCTGTGCAAAGAAAAGGGCTGTCCTGGAACTAGCCCTGGGGCCTCACCCAGCCTGACCTCCTGCTTTTGTCAGGAAGGTTCCTAGATTGAGAAGACCTACTCCTGGGGCCCTTGCTCTCTTGGTACATAGTGGAGTTCTGAATATCCTTGGCACAGCCTGGCAGGTGGCCCTCTGGGACAGTGACCTTCCCGGGCTGCCAGAGCTGTACTACAGCTCTATTACAGCTATCCTCAGAAAGGCACGTTCCCACTCAGAGCTGACTTGACATGTACTCATCTGCCCACTGGCTTGGGCAAGGCAGGTCCTGATTTCCCAAGACCCTCACTTTCCTAAGTGGACCCCTCCTCAGCTCTCAACCTCAGGGGTAAAAAATGCGTTTGGGCAGAACAGTGGGTTAGATTCGGGGTCCAGAGTCCTTTCTCGGGATTACCTATGCTTACGTCCTGTGGAAGCACACCTGGTCCCACAGAAGCACCGGAGTGGCCCGCGGGGTTTCTCACTCCAGCAAGCCAGGCCAGAGCGTCTTGTGCGCAAGCCTGAGTGTTGGGGGAAAGGCGCAAACACACCCCAACGTGGCTGACCAGGGATGCCCACCATCCGGGTGGCCCTCGACCAGTGGGCCGCACCCTAGACGGACCGGAAGCGGCGCGCACGCCCCCGACCCTAGGATTTCCCTGCCCCGGGCGCGCGCCCCTCCGCAGGTCTCCTGGGCCCCGCCTTCTTCCTGCCTCCTTTCTGCAGGGGCGGGCTCTCAGGCGTCCTCGCGCGCCCATTGGGTCGGCCTGACGTGCCGTCTAGCCCTGAGCGCCTTTCCCATTGGCCCCGCATAGCTCACGTGACAGGGAGTCCGAGGGGGCGGTGGCGGCGGCAGGGGGAGCGCGCAGCGAAAACAAAGATGGCGGCCGCGCCGGGGTCGGTGGCCGCGGCAGCTTCGGGGCGGCGCGCGGGCCAGACCCACTGAGGCGGCGGCGCAGGGAGCGGGTTGCGGGGTCGCGGCGGCAGCGAGAGGGCGGCGGGAGCGCGCGGCACCCCTAACTTCCAGCCGCGGGTGCGCGCCGGCACCCGCCCGCCGGGCCGACCGGCCGCGATGTCCGGCGCGGAGGAGGCCGGCGGGGGCGGGCCGGCCGCGGGGCCCGCCGGCGCCGTGCCGGCTGGGGCCGGGGTCGGGGCTGGGGTCGGGGTCGGGGTCGGGGCCGGGCCGGGGGCGGCCGCGGGGCCAGCGGCGGCAGCGGCGCTGGGCGAGGCGGCGGGGCCCGGGCTCCCGGACGAGGCGGGCCTGGCCGGCGCCCGGCAGCTGCAGGAGGCGGCCGGCGACCCCGATGCGCCGCCCAAGAAGCGGCTGCGGGCGGCCGAGGCAGCCGAGGCGGCGGCGGCGGCGGCGGCGGCGGGCAGCGGGAAGCTGGAGGAGCGGCTCTACTCGGTGCTGTGCTGCACCGTCTGCCTGGACCTGCCTAAGGCCTCCGTGTACCAGGTAGGGCCGCCGGCCCGACCCCGACCCAGCCCGACTGCAGCCCCGCCGCGGCCGCCCCCCTCCCTGGGCACCGCGTATCCTCGGAAGGCAGGTCTGAGCTCCGGGGCCCAACAGTCGGGACACTGGCGGCTCTTCGGAAGCTTTTCATTCTCCTTCTGTTAGGACTTTTATTTCCTACTCGTAACCAGCTTCTTGTACCGACTCCCCTTGTTCCTAGATCCGAATCTTATTCTTCCGCTTCTTTAATTTTTGGCTTTCCTCACTGCCCCCACCTCACCCTCTCAAGCTGCCCCCAGAGAAAGCTGGTGACAGATACCCACATTCCGCGCCCCTTCCGCCCCCTCCCCCCCGCAACTCCTGGGAGCCTGCTCCCCCTCATTCTTGAGCTCCGTGGGCTTGGGTAGACCCTGGGCTTTCCTCTTCACTCAAGAGTTCTTTCTCTATTCTTTTAGTAGCCACACCCCCGAAACCTGTCTTTAAGCTCTTGTTATATATCTTCTACCTCCTTGTTGAAAAAACTCTCTTTGCCTTTCATTTTGAAAGAGCATTGAAAGGAGTGGATCATCTCTTTTCCCTCCCCTGTTCCTTTCCCTCATTTCCTGGTCTGGAAGAACTACCTTCATCAAACCCCAGTCTGGGTCTCCTCTCTTCCCAGACTGACCTAATGCTTTCTGTACATGCCATGTACTTCTCAGGCTACCAGCGCTCCAGGAGGTGTGTCCACCCTCCTTTTACCATCTGAGAATCCAGAATGGTGGCTGGACTCCATCCTTAACCAGCCACAGCCATCAGAGAGGGGACTTGGCCCAGGTGGATCTTGCGTGGGTGTCACACAGCGGCAGGGGCCACGCTCTGGCCCTAGAATTAGTTTAAGTGTGCTCTCTTCTTTGTCCCCAGATCTCTCTCCCCACCCCACTCCCACTCCTCTGATACTGCTTCCTCCCAGAATCCTTTTGAGGGATGGAACAGGTTCTCTATCATCTTTCTTTGCACTTAACAGGAGCTGGTCATGGCTGATGGGGCTTTGTCTCCTACTGGAGCCAAACTGGGGCCATGGGTGAGAGGGCCATTTTTGTAATAAGCAGTACCGGGCTAATCTGGGTTGCCGTTTCCTCTGCCCCTAGATCTCCAAACCCTTTCCTGCTTTGGCATGACGTAGCTTAGGAGGACCCTGGTGTGCCCAGGTGACAGAGAGAGGAAAGAGAAGGCATTGGCAGGGAAATGGGTTGAGTTCTTTGGGGTGAGGGCATTGGCTCTCTGCCTAACCTCCTGGCCAGAGGCCCTGGCTTAGGAATACCACAGGCCTTCTGACCCAATTAGAGGAGCACTCACCATGGACCAGCCTCGGAGGCCCCTCAGGAGTTGTCCCCTCTCCAGCCCCTTTTTACCTTGCCCGTGATCTTGTGATCCTCTCAGGTGGAAGAACTCTTCCTTCTTTGGGTCTTAAGTGAGAGCCCAAAAACGCCAAGCCAACCGTGGGTAGGAAGGGTCTCAGGGGAATTTGGGGTTCCCTTCCCCATCCTGTGAGTGGGCTAGACCTGGACCTGACATGATGACAGGCCACATGGTGCTGCCTCCTGGTCCGAAGCTCTGCCTCTGGCCAGAGCCACCTGTGATGGGGCCTCTGAGCCTGGCTGGTTCAAACCGGCCTGCACTTTGTTGGGAGCTTGAGCTAGGTCCTGGGCAGGCTGGAGGCAGGTAGCTAAACAGCTGTGACGGAGAGAGTAGAGGCGCTGGGGTAGCCCTGACCTGTGGCCCTCCCATGACCTCCCTTCCAGCTTCCCTGGAAACAGCCCTGCTGAGCAAGGAGAGCCCATGACACCAAGCTGTAGGCTTTAGCACTGGCCCCTGCCGTAGCTCCATTCTTCCCAAGTGACAGCTGGGCCTCAATGAGGAGTTGTTTCCCTCTCATCTCTGGAGGCCTAGAGTAAGTTCTAGAACATGTGATCAGTGGCAGAGCCCTTGGCCCTTCTAGAGTCCTGCCACTGATCAGAACTTGCTTTAGCTGCTGGAAGCCCTGCCATGGGTGGGCCGGTGGGGGGCATGCCTGGCAAGGATGCACAGCAGTCCCATGAGGGGCCTGAGGGATGGGCTGGAGGAAGGAGGGAAGGCCTCTTGGTGGCTCCCCACTGCATGTGACCCTGGATGGGGACATTGAAGGTAGGGGGTTGGGATGGGCCTGGACGTATCTGAGCTGGGTTAGCTCCCAGGAGGATCTGGTCATAAATGATGTAGGCCCTGTACGTGCTGTGTCAAAACAGGCAGGCACACAGCCTTCTGGATGTCCCTGGTTGGGTCTTACTACTGGCCATTAACCTCTTGGCCTGGGCTCAGCCCCTCCATTTCTGGGGAACTGCTTTGGTGTGCCGTGTTGACAGGCCTTTTCTAGTGGATGGTATGAGGCACGCGGTGTGTTCCATTCTCTGTTCCTACCAGCAAGTTTTCTCCTGACTCCACCAGGACACACAGCTTGGAGCAGGTGCCAGCCATGCTGTGCATCTGGGGACTGTCTCAGGTGGTGCCCAGCTCTGGGGTGAGGAGTGGTCATGGTGAGCCCAGTGCACTGTGCCTGGCTGGGTCTGCAGGGGACAATTCCATGGGCCTCTGGAGTTGGCTGAGTGCTTGGTATCTTGAGAGCGCTGTGGCCACCGGACCCCATACCCATGCCACCGGGGGAGCCTTGGTGGTGGCAAGAGCTCACCTCGAGCAGACTTATCCACCTGTTCCGGAGTCTGAGCACCTGGCCTCGCGCAGCTGGCTTTCCCACACATCTAGCACGTCAAGCTACACACCTGGACTGGGGAACCTGCTTTAGTATAAGAGCAAGGCACTCATGCAAATGGTTTTCACCATGGCCTACTTTAAGTTAGGTCAGGTCAGATCAGGGACAGAGGAGGTTCAGCAGATGCTGGCTTTGATGTTCTTTGTGTGGGTGTTGGGTGTGTCATTAGTGACTGACCTGACATCTCCAGAGTCCCAGGCAGCACCCGGGTGGGGGCAGGAGGACTGGAGTGGCAACAGGGACACTCATGTAGGAGTGGGCAACAGGCACCTGCTGTAGACACAGAACTGTGGCGCCAAGGTGATGTGACCCCGCCCCCTCTGCATATGTGACCACTTCTGGTAGAAACTCAGCCTTTCTGGTGACTGGAGCATTGGAGATGCAACCTCATCCTCATCTCCCGAGGTTGTCCCCCAACCCTTCACACAAGGCCCAATCTGTCCTCTCTGTGACATACCTGGTATGACCCTGCAGACATCAGCTGAGGCCCTGAGCTGTGGACCAGCATCTGGAGGGAGGGGCCACAAGCTCTCCCTACCCCTCACCGGGCTCCCTGCCAGAAAAAGTTCCCCTGACCTCCATCAGGGTGAAGGAGTAGTCATGGGGGTCTTTCACAGGATGTGGCTCCAACTGGCTTTCTGGCCCACCACTCCCAGCCTCAGACCTTAGCCTGCCAGCAGCACACCTCCCCCCTCCAGCCGTTCGCTCCGGGCCCCCTCCCCATTCCTCCTTCTCTTCCAGGGCCCTACAGAGGCAGTGCCTCTGTGCTGTGGCCGTCGTCTCCTGCCACAGGGTGCTTGTCCTCACTTCACAGGGCACTTGTCAGCTTCTGCCCTGTGGGTTCTGTCTTGCTGTGCCTCTCACCCCAAGGCCTCCAGTCTCCACCAGGACCTGCCTCAGGCCCTGGCACAAGGGGACTGGTTACTTGATTGTCAGTCACATTGGTGAAAGACTTAGGAAACAGGTGGGTCCATCTCTGCCCAGGCCCCAGCCAGTGTGGTCATGGGCCTTGGGGAGCCTCCTGTCACTGTCAGCATGCCTGGTGCTGCAGGCTCTGTTTTAAATGATGGTTAAAGAGTCCCCTGGGGGGCTGCCTGCTCACCTGGCCCGGGATCCTCTTCTCTAGCTCCTGGTTCATGCTTTGAGGTGAGAAAGGTAGCAGAGAAGAGCTACGGAAACTTATCTGCCTAGGTATCCAGAACAAGAGCGTAGAGAGGACAAAGGGTCTGGACTCTGGCCACGGGAGAACTTTTTTTTTTTCGTGGTGGTGGTTTGTCATTTGAGTTGCCTTTCAATCCAGGGAGTATGCACATTCTGAGCAAGAGCCTGACTGTGGGTATGACTGGTTCCCACTGAAGTCCTGGCTCTTGGGGTTAGTGTGATAACAGGAGCCACAGGTCCAGGACTTCAAACCAGAAACATGGTGAATCAGAGTCCTGGCTTTACCCAGAACAGCTTTGTTCCTTGGACGCTGTGAGGTCCCTTCTCAGGCCCCTTGAGTAAAGAGACTGAGGAGACCTCAGGCCAAACATGGGGGTTTTGGGGTGCCCTGCAGCCCATATGGGCATGGTGTGGGGACCTGCAGCTGGGCTGCGGAGCAGTTCCGGAGCTAGTGCCCTCAGGTATGCTTTGGATGGTGAGCTGCTTTCATTGGCCTAGGATTTGAAGGGCCCATGCATGCCAGGCTTGAAAGAGGGCCTAAAAAGGCCTACTGACCAAGGCTTTGTTTCCAGAAGAGGGGGTGGGGTGGCTAGGTGTTTTCCAAGACCCTCTTATAGCCTAGGGGGAAGCTGGCCTGGGTGCATGTGACCTACCTGTGCCCAGGTAGAGGGGCTGCTGGGTGACGTCCTGAGGAGACAGAAATGCCCAGTCCTGGGCCGTTTGCAGAGGGGCTTGAGGGGGGATTGCTGTGGCTTGGATGGGGTTGGGGACTCCAGAGGTGAGGGAGGGGGGTTGTTGAAATTACAGACCTGTGCCAGGAGTCCTTTCTGAGGCTCTGCAGGGAGGGGCCATGTGAGGGGCCAGCCTGGCTCTGCTGTGGGATGGCCTTGGTGGGTGTTTGTTCTGTTCTGTCACGTGCTAGGGGCCAAGCCATGCTGTTGTACATGTTGTTTCATCCCACATGATGAGGCCAGTCTGGTCTTTGTCATTTTTTGTGCCTAAGTAGAGTGAGGCCCAGAGAAGGGAAGCAACAAGCCCAGGGTTATGCTGCTGGTAGAGTCTAAGCCACCGCCTGCCCCGGGAGGCTCTGTGATGTTCTGAGTCGGGACAGCCCTCTTCTGCCCACCCTACCACGGCGATCTTACCGGCGGCCTGGGTGGGCGCTGCAGGAGCTGCTGCTTGGGGTTCCCAGGCTCTTGGGGGCTTGGCTCTAGCATGTGGAGCGGGGCATCCTGGCCTGCCCTGGCTGGGGCTGTCCATCAAAGGCTTGGCGTGCAGCTAATATTGTGCAAAGTCCTCTGGGACTTTGGGTGGGCAAATCAGGGTAGGTGCAGCCCAGCCCAGCCACTGAGGAGGCTGGGTCTATGTTAGCACTTGGCCAGGCCTGCGTATGGAGTCAGGGTCTTACCCAGGAAGGGCCTGGATAGCAGGGAGGGCTCGGAGCCTGGCCACCACCCTGCTGTGGACAGACCTCTTGGGCTGGGTGTCAGCTGGACCCAGACCAGCCACCTTGTTTTCGCCCAGGAGCATCCCGTGGGCACCTGGGAGACGCTGGCTGTGTGTGGGTATCAGCTTGTCCCTTGGCCCAGCCGCAGCATGTGCGGGCCTGCTGTCTTCCAGCTCACAACGGAGCTATTAGGATCTATGGGGCAGGGGCCTTGTCTCTCCCCCAAGGAGGGCAAGTTGCAGTGCTTCTTTATGGAGTCCTCATACCTAAGCCTGTGTTGGGTCTGGAAGCTTCGGGAGGAAAGGGGTGGGAGCTGGCCTGAGAGCTTGGATATTCTTGCAGTCCCTGGGCTCTAAGGAGAGGCCTGTTGGGAGGATATGCTGGCCGCCTTTCTCTGCCTCAGAGTAGTGGGGTTTCAGGGCCGTGCTGAGAGGTGAGCATTCACACATGGAGGGACCTTGGTGTTCCTCGGAGGTCTTAGGACACCATCCAAGTCTCTCGCCCTCAGGTCCACACACCCCGGCTGGGCCATCCTGAAATAGAAGCGAAGCCAGTGGGTGCTGTCTCTGTTCTGCTCAGGCCAGTGGTGACTGCAGAGCTGAGCCCTGCCCAGGCAGCCTCTCACCAGGAGCCATGGAGAACTAGAGTGCACATGGAGTGGTGTGGGACCCCAGGCCCTGGGGGAGGGGGCAGGGTCTCATAGTTGGCATCCGGCCAGGCTTCCTCAGTTGAGGGTGCGGGGCAGTGGTTGTGGTTTGGCCTCACTTAACAAGGGGCGCCCTGAAGTTTCCCCCTCCTGTGAATTAGTAGTTAGACCAGCACGCGTAGCTGCAGTAGTCTCCTCTCTGGACTCGGGTTTGGTGAACCCAGGCCTCTGTCAGGCTCAGGCCCCGAGTGGAGGCTGATTAAAGATATGCTCCGGGCCCTTGGTCTGTGCCTCCTATAGGGTGGCAGGGGCCTGTGACGTCTGTGTCCCCCTCCTCTCCACTCACCACATCTCTGGCTTCTTCACTGACCTCTGGGGGTGGACAGGATAGACGGCCTTTGCAGCCTGCTCCTCCTGTGAGCAGCCCTCAACCCTCCCCACTACTTCTTGGATCCCTTGGGTAACTGGCGGGGTGCTGGCTGCGTGTGGATATTGGCTTGTCCCTTGGCTGGGCCAGTAGCACTCTGCAGCTAGCCCGTGTGTCCAGTGCTGGCACTGGCCCACCCCTGCCAGACCCTTTTCCTCCTAACCTGAGCCCAGCCAGCTCCTCTTCCACATCTTGCACTTGCACATTTTCATTTTTCATCTGACTTAAAATTGAGATTTTAGTGCAGATAATGTGTGGGGTGTTTGTGTGGACATGGGTTCTGTGTATGAGGCCTGTGTCCCCAACCCCCTTACCCCCACCAGTCCTCAACACATAAGTCCCATCACTCACTAGACCCCAGGCCTGGCCTACGGGTGCCAGGAGCTCACAGCCTACCCTGGCTCCTCGCTCTGGGTGCGCAGACCCCCGGTGGGAAGCTGGTGTTTACGGAGGCCCCCATGTGTGTGAACGTGGCCGGGCCTCTACTGCACTGCCTCCCTCTCTCAGAAGGGTCCTGGACCTCAACAGAAGCTCTGGCCCAGTGGCTTTCTAGAGGTTTGCCACTGCTGGTAAGCCCAGGCAGCTGCTGGCCAGACCCGTGATGGCGCTGTGTGCCCCTTCACCCTCAGCTGGCTGTGCAGGAGTCTCCATGTGGAAATCCAGCCACCCTTGGCAGAACCCCCAAATGTCCCCGCAATGTTCCCTGACCTCTGCTCTTCCCCATCTGCCCCTGTAAGTTTTTATTAGTCAGGATCAGGCCTAGGGAAGCCATGTCTGCCCTGAGGGGACACTCAGCTCAAGTCTTTGCTCTTGTATCTCTTGGTTTCTCTGTGGGCCTCTTCTGCCCTTCTTACTAGGAGCCCCTGGAGGGCCGACCCCACAGCCTGTGTATCTCTCTCGACGGCACCAAGTGAGCACTCAGGAGGTATGTTTGCAATCAGTTTGAGACCCAACACAGGAGTTGACAGGCAGCCCACTGGCCACATGTGCAGGGACTCGCAGCAAAGGGCAGGTTGCTGGCAGGCAGTGTCTGGGCCTCAGAACTGCGGTCAGAAAGGGAGGGGGCCTAGCCTCTGACCCACGTCCTGCCCACAGCCCCTGTTCTCTCCTCCAGGCACGCATTGTGCCCACACCCTCGTCCCAGGCCCGCTAGGCCTCCTCACCTGCCACAGCTCTATGCCACTAGCTTATAGGAAGCCCCTTGCAGGTAGCCAGCCTCACTGGGCGGATGGCAGCTACCTTCTCACTTGTGCTGGCCAAGAAGAGCTGGAGTGGAGGGGCCAGGCCCCCAGCCCCCAGCACGGGGGGGGGGGGGGTTGTCTACTGCCCCACTCGACAGCTGTTGGCCAGGTGCCACAGCCACGCCCAGACAAGAGCCTGTGTTCCTGTAGGCGTCCCGAAGTGAGGGCCTCTGGGGGATTCATGAGGCAGTCCCTGGCCCCTGGGATAGAAGAAGGCGGGGCTTCAAGCTCCAGTGTGACCAAACCAGTCCCTGCTAGTGGGCCCGCCTCAGGGGAGATCTGTTCCCTCTGTAAGTCACTAAGGGCCACTTTTGAGTCACCCACCTCTCCACAGGAGCCCCCATTGGCCGTGTCTTTGCAGTGTTCCAGGAGAAAGGCCTGTCCTGCCTGAGCAGTGGCTCTGCTTGCTAAATGACAGCGTGCCTGTGCCTCTCCTCGCCAGCAGGCCCGGCTGCCGCTGGAGCTGGCGAGGCGTGCGGTGCGTGCGTGTGCACGTCCTGCAGGTCTGTGAGCTCATCTCCCTTTCCTTCTTCGCAGTGTACTAACGGTCACTTGATGTGCGCTGGCTGTTTTATCCACCTACTAGCAGATGCCCGGCTGAAGGAGGAGCAGGCCACGTGCCCTAACTGTCGTTGTGAGATCAGTAAGAGCCTCTGCTGCCGCAACCTGGCTGTGGAGAAAGCCGTGAGTGAGCTGCCCTCCGAGTGTGGCTTCTGCCTGCGCCAGTTTCCCCGCTCCCTCCTGGAGAGGCACCAGAAAGAGGAGTGCCAGGACAGGTAACCGCCCGGGCCGGCCTGCCCGCCGGAGGCTTAGCCCCCCGTGTGAGGCCTACGACGGGTCTGGAGGCCACCCTGGTGCAGGCGAGGCCGCAGCGTGTGGGATGCTCTGGCCGTGGGTTCTGTGCACGTGGCCCAGTGACAGCCTCAAAGGAATGGGCCCGGGTGGAAGTTACACAGGGCCTAGGCCCTCAAGGGGCTGGGGGTGGGGCCCCACAGAGGGCAGGGGGGCTTGGATATGAACCCAGTGCCTGTTTGGACATCACCCTGGCTCTCCAGGATTCTCTGACTGCATGATGGCCTCTTAGAGGCTACCTGTCCTTGGCATCCTGGGGCCCAGGAGAGCATGACAAGTTCTGGGAACTCAGTGTGAAGCTGCATGGGCACCCCCAGCCAGCCCCTGCTGGTTGACACTGCCATCTGCCAGTGGGGCCAGGCCACCGAGCCTCACTTGGAGTGAAGCTGCATAGGGTCCAAGACCATGGTCAGTGGCCACTGTTACTGAGCAGGAGAGTCCTCACAGCAAAGGGCGCAGGTGGCATGTGTATTCACACTCTCATGTGCTGCTTTTCTTTCACACACGCTCTGACCCCTTCCTGAGAGCTGGCACACGGTGAAAATGGCCTTCGGTGGGTAGTCTGTGTGTGAGCAGGGCTGGGCAGAGGCCCACCTTTAGAGGACCACTGGGCAGAGCCACCTCCCACAGGGCGCAGACCGTGACCACGGTGCTCGCCTCCTCCCCAGGGTGACCCAGTGCAAATATAAGCGCATCGGCTGCCCGTGGCATGGCCCCTTCCACGAGCTGACGGTGCATGAGGCCGCGTGCGCCCACCCCACCAAGACGGGCAACGAGCTGATGGAGATCCTAGACGAGATGGACCAGAGCCACCGCAAGGAGATGCAGCTCTACAACAGCATCTTTAGCCTGCTCAGCTTTGAGAAGATCGGTTACACAGGTGAGGCGCCCCGCCGCCCACTGCATGCCGCACAGGCTGGGGGGGTGGGGTGCGGCGGCTGGGGAACAGCAGTCTCTGAGCGGTGGGCACAGGCCATGCTGGATGGCCAGGCTCTGGACAAGCTTTTGGTGAATGGGAGGACACCTTGGGGGAGAAGATGTGCCAGAGGCCGAGCAGGGGATGGGCCGGGGCAGGACCCTGGGGGCACCTGCATGGCTCTCAGAGGCCCTCTCACCTGTCCTCCCCTCCCTGGCCCTGCTACCCCAACGAGGTGGCATCCTACTGCGTGGGGCTGCACAGCCTTGGGACTGTCAGGGTCTAAGCAGAAGGTGGGTGTGACTTGGAGGGCCTGGGAGCTAGGGGCCTGCCCTGTGGAGCCAAAGGCAAGAAGAGCACTCAGCACATCCGGTCCTGCCTGCAGGCAATTACTGCAGTGGCCTCGGGCTTCCTGAGGCCATCGAGAAGATGCTCAGGGGCGGGGCTCCTGAATGAGCTGAGGGTGCCCAGCTCAAATGGAGAGCTGGGAGTGGACGCCCAGAGACGGGCAGGCTGGACCGCGCTCAGGCCCACTGGATCTCACGGGCTCTCCTGGCCACTGCCACTGCCTTTGGACATGCTGGGGAGCAGGAACCAGGCCAGAGCCTGGTTCAGACACAGAACAGCAAGAAGCACCTGCTGGCACTGGGGCCGCTCAGGGAGACTACGACCCTCTACTGCTCAGCCCACACCAGGCAGCCGGCTCAGAGCATCAAGGGCAGTCACAGGCAACCAGTCACACCGTGCTGCCTGGACTAGGCCTGGCTAGGTGTGGGCCTGCTCAGGCCTGGGAGGCCAAGGGCCCGGCAGCCTCAGCAGCAGCAGGTCATGACCCCTGGTTAGTTGCAGCCTCAGCTGCCCTGGTGGGCGCCACGGCACAAACAGTCCAGGCCGGGCCTTGTGGGTCTGGGCGGGCCAAGGCATCATGATCGTGGCAGTGGCCGGGCAGGGATCCTCATCCACCCAGGAAGGACTGGCCACCTCCATGGAGGGACTCGCGGGCCGTGGGCCCCGGGCTGTGCTGAGAGAACTGTGTGACAGCACAGGAGCCCAGCACTGGGCCATACACCGGCGCTCTGCCTTGCGCCCCATGCAGGCTCGTGTGCCACACGCCTGCCCGCCCGCCCGCCGGCGTTTCTGGCAGCTCTGTATCAGAACCAATAAAGTGCACTTGTTCTCAGAACGCATCCTGTCTGTGTGTCTGCTTACCCACGCCCCTGGGTGGGCCTCCCTCTGCCTGGGCTGGGCCCCGGGGGAGGCGAAGAGGGAGGCCAGCGGGGGTTGGGCCGCTCACTTCTTTCAGCCTCTGGACTCCCTGCAGCTAATGCGTGTTACTTCTGTTTGTAGTTGTTTCCCCAAAGCTTGTGTGCGCCTCCATTTGCCATAATTGCGTTTGATTTGCCTTGTGACAAGTAGAGCACGCTGTGTCCTCCTGGTAAGTTGCCTTCCTCCCTGGCTGAGCCTTCATCCTCGGCCTCCGGAAGGCGCCGCCACCCAGCCCTGCCCACACTGACTGCCGGCTCTTCCCGGCCTGTCTGTCTCCACAGAGGTCCAGTTTCGGCCATACCGCACGGATGACTTCATCACGCGCCTGTACTACGAGACGCCAAGGTTCACGGTGCTGAACCAGACGTGGGTCCTGAAGGCACGTGTCAACGACTCGGAGCGTAACCCCAACCTGTCGTGCAAGCGCACACTCTCCTTCCAGCTCCTCCTCAAGAGCAAGGTCACAGCGCCCCTGGAGTGCTCCTTCCTGCTGCTCAAGGGCCCATACGATGACGTAAAGATCAGCCCCGTCATCTACCACTTTGTCTTCACCAACGAGAGCAACGAGACGGACTACGTGCCACTGCCCATCGTCGACTCCGTGGAGTGCAACAAGCTGCTAGCCGCCAAGAACATCAACCTGCGGCTCTTCCTGTTCCAGATACAGAAGTAGGCGGCACCGCTGTGCTGCCCGGCCTGCCCGGCGGTGGCTTCACAGTGCCGTCTGACCGTTTTAGCAAAGGAGGAGAAGGAACAAACGCAAACATTGGGGAAGTCTGCATGCGTGTGCGAAGGTGGGAGTGCTCTCACCTCGCCCTCCGCCCCGCCTCCCCTGTCCCAGGCACTGGAGGCTGGGCCACCTGCAGAGGAGACGGTGGCTCAGGGACACAGTGGGGCTAAACCCAGCGGCCATGCCCTGGCCCCCATGGCGTAGTGAGGCGCACTGTCTGCTCTGAGCTGCGCCCGGCCCCTGGGCCGGGCTCAGGGAGCACGCTGACTTCAGACGGCATATTTGATTGCAATTAAAAAGGCACCCTTGTTTCCTACTTTCTGTTTTGTTCGAGGGAAAGGTGTGGCTGTGATTGGACATCGGGGGAGCTTTGGTTTGGCCTGGGGATCAGAGCCCACAGGTCCTTGTTCATACACCTCCATGCACGGCCCCTGCCAGAGACTCAGAGATACTGCCCCCTCTGTCAGGCTTGGGCAGGGGAGCAGGCACGGCCGGGGTTTTGCGCGCGCGCACACACACACACACACACACACACACACACACACCCAGCTACTCCAGAGAGAGAGGACTTGGCCACCAGGGCTCAGCAGATGCTTCGGAATGCAGGGTGAAATTCTGTTTCTTTCCAGGAAAACAAAATTAAACTCTTCACAGGCTCATCTATAAGTGATGCAAATTTAGCAAGAGAGAATCTATTTTCTGTATTCAGCCTTGAGGGCGCAGCATCCCCAGCCTGTGAGGGAAGCTGTGGGGGCCGCGGGCAGTGAGTTAGCCTGGCTGGATGAAGTTTCCAGTGGGCCGGCCATCCCCATGCTGCTATCAAGAATTGGCTGCTGCCCCCCAGAGGTCAGTCCCTGGGCAACGTGGCTTCTCACTGGAGGGAGCTCTTCACAGCCTCAGTGAGCAGTGAGTGAGCAGGCCCTGTGTGGGCGCCTCACAGAGAGGGTAGGAGCTCTGCCTGGAGGACCTTGAGACCCTCAGAGCTGCTGGAAAGGGGAAAGCGTGGCTCCCCTCCTTTGCTTAGGAGACATGGCTCTTCTGTGATAGGGTTCTGTTGCTTCAATACCAAAGAACCATTCCCTTTGGCCCTGGCCTGGTCTATCCCACGCTTCAGAGCAGTCCCTGTCCCCACACCAGCCTTGCCCTCCATTTTCCAGGCCCTGTAGACTCAGCACTTGGGGCAGCCTTACCAGTAAGCATGCAGAGCTGCAGGCCTGGCCTTTATGGTCCCTCCCTCTCCCGGCCCTCGAGTTGGGGGCTGAAAAATGGAGGTAAGGAGCCATGCATGGGGTAGAGCAAGAGCCTCATCCCAGTGCCTAGCTCAGACAGCCCTCTGAGCCAATTCTCACCCCAGGGCAGCTCGCTTACTTCTACTGAGAAGACTGTTTAGATTCCTGTTTCCAGTCTAGGGCATGGGGCTTGCGGGGCATCCCGTCCTGCAGGGCCATCTGTGCCTAGCCACGGAGGAAACCCAGAGGTGCTATGCTTGGTTTCCTACCCTCCATCAAGACAGACCCTGCACCCTGGCCCCCAGCACATCCTTGGAGCACACCCTGGCATGAGTCCCACTGTCCTCAAGAGCTGCCCCCCTCTACCTAGCAGGTGCAGAGGATGATATTCAGGTAACCATGTGCCAGGTCTCGTGTGTAGAGGGGATGGTGCCATGTCACTGCGTCTGTGCATCTCTCAAGGATGGACAAGGAAGGACGCCATATCTGTAGAGTTTCTGGATTTCAAAGCGACCATGTTGTGGAGGAGCCAGGGTAGGGGCAGGCTTGCCTGGTCTGCCTGTGTTTAGGTGTGTGTGTGAGAGATTTGAGTCGGCAGAGGCACAGTGCCTGAAGGCTCTCCTGGGTGGGGTAGGGTGGGAGGCAACATCTCTATGCAGGTCAGGTATGTGGCTGCCAGAGGGGGCCAGTCCAGGGGCCACGAAGGGAAAAACCAACCCCAGCTGGACCTTCTGGCCCTGTCCCCACAGTCCTAGGGCCAGCAGCCCTTGGATGGGGGTGGCAGATGGGCTGGGCTCTGCAGCACCAGGGTTCCAGGTTGCTGGGGGCATACAGCCCACTATTTCTGGCAGCCCAAGGGCATGTCTGGGGGTGCCCAAGAGGAGTGGTAATACATGCCAGCATCACCATCCCCAGCACAGCCCCCCACCCTCTGACGGTCACCTCAGCAGCTGAGCCATACAGCCTGGTGGAGGCAGGTACCCTGGGAGATTGTAGTGTGTCTCAGCCACTCCTGGAAGGTGATGCCACAGACCTACTTGCGGTGTCTCCCCGGGGTAATTGATTTACTGGGGATGTCCCATCCTCGTTGTTAAAAAGGAGAAAACACCAGTGGTCGGTCTCCAGAGCCCCTTGGCATTTGGCATCCTGAGCTAGAGAGAGTGGGGGTGCAACCTCAGCAGATGTGGAGGAGGCCTGGGGGCACAGAGCAAGCTGCCCCCCCTCTACCCACCATCACCTCTCCCCTATGTGCACTACATCCCTCAATTCATCCAAGTGAGACACTTGCAAAAATAATAAAAATGTTTTAAAGAGGAAAGTGAGAGGTGTTTTTATCACTGTGGGAAATGGCTTACATGTCACTATTGTGGCCTGCGTGCTCTGGATATTTTCCGTATGTGACTATATAGTTTCAAAACAATTCAAGCCATGTTTTGTCTGTCCCCTTATGCGGGAAGCCAGTCTCATGGATGCATTTCCCTGGGTTCTGGCAGCATCCTGGGCAGGACTCAGCGCTGCCCCTGCTGGCTGCACTCCCCGGCCCCTGCTCAGTACTGCCCCACGTATACATCCTTGCCTGGCCAGTGGGAAAGCTGAGGCATAGAGGAACGGGGTCCTCTCTGAGCCATCTTGTGAATGCTGGCATTGGAAGGGGAGCCCCAACACTGTCTCCCCAGAAGCTCTGGGGAGAGGTGCCCTCTGCCCTTGGCCTATTGAGCCGAGCCAGTCTCTACTTCCGTGGCCTTGCTCTCTCACCCCCACCACATCTCCACCTTGACCCTCACTGTGCTCCTCAACTCCATCAGCCTGCCCTCCAAGCAGCCCTTTTGGTTCCAGGGCCTCCTGTTGTGCTCCCCACCCACCAGCCCCAACCAGGGACCCATAGAACCCTTCACCCTTCCAAGAAAAGAGGGCTCCCTGGATCCAACTTCGCATCTCCTGCAGTTCCTCAGACCTGGCCTTGCCCCACCCCTGCAGCCTCATCACTGGCCCTGGGCAGTCTTCCCCGGACCCACAGACCCATCTACCCCCTCCATCACTCCCTCCACTGTGGGCCTCATGGTCCATCCGCTGGCTGAGAGTTCTACCCTATTGGGTCTGTTTTGACTTCACGGAAAATAAATGCAACCATCTCCCACTCTTTCAGGACCTCCTCTGGAGGCTTTGCATACCAGACTTGTCACACTGCATCCGGGGCTGGATGTGCTGTGTAGTGGGGACTGAAGGCATGGCAGGTGTTTGTTCCTCTGCGGCCCGGGTGCACCGAGACCCAGGATTTCACCGCGTGTGCATTGAGGAAGAAGTACCTTGCTCTGTTCACTTTGGAAGACATCCATCCCCCCTCTCCGCCCAAAACACTGGGGGTCTGTGTCCTTGAATGTGACGACTCTGGGGCTGCATTCGCGGCTGTTCCGCGGGCTCTGTGAAAAGGGACGTATCCGAGTACTCAAGGGTATTCGATCATCGATCCCTTCATCTCCTGTTATACGAAGGCGGTGTGTCCCCCGAGTAAAGTCATCACGCAGGCAGGCTTTGCGTGTGTGCGAGTGGTTAGCGGCAGAACGAGCACAGGAGACCGCCCCCCAAGGGCGGCTTCGAGGCCGGAGCCAGGGGTAGGGATGGGGCTCAGCTTCCACGCCACCCCAAGAGCCTGGGGTGTTGCCGACCCTCCCGCCGCCCTCTCACAGTCCTTCCCAACCGGACGTCAGCCGGACTACAGCTCCCACGATGCCTCGGACGACTGGACTACATCTCCCGGGATGCCCCGCGCCTGGCGGGGGCGGGGCCGCCGTGGCGGCGGGGAACGCGGGAAGTCCGGATCACCGTGCGCGGCTGCCGGATCATGAGTGTGGAGCGCGATCTTCGCCGTGAGTCTCCGGTCGGAATGCGGGGAGGAGCGGGTCTGGCCCGCTCAGGCGAGGGAGCTTAGCCTCCGGGCCTCGTCTCCCTCTCTCTGCAGAGCTGAGCAAGGCCAAGGCCAAGGCCCAGAGAAGCGGGCAGCTGCGGGACGAGGCCGCCCTCTCCCACCAGCTGGGGGAGCTCCTAGCCAGCCACGGTGCGTGCCCCGCGCCTGGCCCAGGTTGTGGTCCAGGGCCGGGAGAACTGGGGTGCTGGAGGTCGGGGCCCTGGAGGGCCGGAAGGGAGGGGGGGCCGGGGCCCGGGAACCTTGCCGAGCGGGCCGCCCAGGGCCGGCCACCGCCTCGCTCGCCCTCGCAGCCCCTGGCTGACTGCCCGGCCAGGGCTGAAGCCTGCCGCGCCCGCCCGCCCGCCCAGGCCGCTATGCAGAGGCCCTGCGAGAGCACCAGCATGAGCTGCAGCTCCTGGAGAGCATCGACGACCCTCTGGGCTGTGCTGTGGCCCACCGCAAGATCGGGGAGCGACTGGCTGAGATGGAGGACTACTCAGTTGCCCTGAAGGTGGGCAGAACCCACTCCCACCCCAGCACCCATGCTGACCACAGCCAGCCTCCCAGAGCCCACCTTTGTGCTGGTCCCTTTCTGAGGAGAGAAGCACAGTTTTCACTGTCTTGGCTTTCTGGCTAGGGGGACACGCCTGGTTGTGGCCCCTTCAGACAGCCCTGTGCCAGGGGATTGTTGTCTGGTCTTTGGGTAGGCACATCATAGACCGTTCTGGAAGCCTGGCCCCAGAAACCATTGACGAACATAACACTTGAGCTGTGTTTGTGGGCCAGCCGGGGAGTTGGGACCCACTGTCCACAAAGGACCTGCTCTGGTCCTGGCGAGGGGGGCTGCAGCAGCCCAGCTAACTCCCACCCAGTGTCTCCTCCCTATGATGACATTGGCTGGTTGGAGCATGGCACCGCTGTCACCACAGGCCGCCCACGGCACAGCGGATATGGGACATGCGCAGCCTGGCTTTGGCCTGCTCTGTGGGGATTTGAGGGGCGTAGGGGGTTCTCCTGGGCAGAGGTAGGCACCTCTTAGAGTACATACGGGATTTGCGTGAGGTGGGGGCTGGCTCACAATGGCCATTCCTTTGCACCCCAGCACCAGCACCGCTACTTGGAGCTGGCCCGTTCCCTGTCTAATCACACTGAGCTGCAGAGGGCCTGGGCCACCATTGGCCG